CGGCGACCCCCATGACCCAAAATGGATGAAGCGGGTAAAAGATAATGGATGGATATTTAATGTAAAAATAACAGAACAAAGTGTAAATCCTTCAAAGTTAGTAGAGGAGTCTGTATGAAGAGGCATTTAATTGAAAGCAGCTTCTCTTTGTATATTCATCAAACTATAGCCTCTGTATTTGCTTGTGTAACCCGGCCCCGCGCTGCAGTGTCTCCAGAGACCAGCGAATGGAAAGAGAATTTTACTTTTATGGATCAGTAACACCACAGTTATTTGATCTTTACGCTCTGGATTTCACTTCACTTAAAGCTGAAGTACTTCTGTTTGAGTTCTATGACTGGTATTCATTATGACATCGTATCAAATGAGCGTTATCATTATTATCTCTGAATCGCAATTCCCTTTTATCCACCTTGGGCTTTGTTGGGGGAAACAAATGCGTCTTGTACTGGTGTTTTGTCATGATTGGTTCAGACCTACTGATCTTGGCTGCCGTCCTCTGTGCTGAATAGGATTTGGTGTAATCCCACAGAGCAGTGCAGAGCAGATGGACACACAGGTAAGATCACAGTGGTGGAGGAGCTATAATTGGTCTGGCCCTCTGCCTGCCAGCCATTTCTACTTGAAGTAGTTTCATTCTTTGATGATCTAATCATCAGAAGACAGGATTATCGTTGAGTCCATCACGAAGATGATCAACGTTATGCAGCAACTGCAAAAGTTAGGGTTCGATTTCATCGTGTGCACACACTTAGTGCACGCTGTAATCCTGTAGAACAGATGGACAGTCAGGTCAGGCCACCAGTGCACAAATTGGTCCATCTCATTGATCATTTCTGGACTTTATAATCAAATTAAAAAGTTAAGAAAGTCATTATGTGATGCACTGTAGTAGAGCAGAGCAGATGGCTGTCTTACAGCCATCACTTTTCCTGACACACATTTTATTTGCAAAGAATAAAAGCTATGAATCACGGTGGTGGTGATCAGGGTGCAGTCTGACAGCAACAGTGAGCCGTGTGTGTGTGTGTGTGTGTGTGTGTGTGGGTCTGCTGTGTCTTTTTGAACATTTTGTGCTGGAAAATTTCCATTATAATAACGTATTTTTTTTCTCTTTTACAAAGAACTCCTGAAATTTAAAGTCTAAATTTTGTACTTTCGCCAAACTTATTTCATAAAAACTGACAATAACTGTCGAGTTCAAATTTGAGCATTCATTTTATTCCTGAGCTGAGCAGACAACTGCTGGTTTACCAAGTTTGTTATGTAGATTTAGAGGAGTGGAGTTTTTGATCATTCTGGTGTCAAACAGTAAATGACTGATCCAACGGTCCACATAATCATTAAATAACAACAGAGCATTAAATGTATAGTTTGTTTTCTATATTGCCTGAAAACTTTAACCGCTCACATGTTCAGTGTCTGTCTCCTCTTTTTATTTAACACAGTGCCTTGAGATGAGTCCATGGTGGTTGGCTGTATGTAAAGAATATCCTGAATTATCTATATATTATTTTGTTGCTGCCATACCTATTATTGTGTGAATGTTTATGAAGCATTCATAATAATGAGATCCTTTTTTTTTTCCGTATGTTTTTCAGCATCTTTCTCATTCCACAATTTTTGTGCTATTTCAACAAATCATAAATCAAAACGTTCAGCTCTTTCAGGACAATCCTGCTATGACTTTTGGTATTGGTGTAACTTTAGCTTTTTGACTTATTTAGCCTTTTCTGACATTTTTTCCTCATAGGAAATTAATTGAGCTCATTTTTCATCCTTCAAATCTTTAAATCTGTTTACAACCTTTTTACTGCTCCTTTCACATTTTGTTCTGGTTCAGATTCTTTCAGCTTTTTTGTGCAAATTTAAACTTTTTTTTAGCTAATTTCAGCTGTTTTGTGAGCCTTTTAGATTCTTTCTGCTAAATACAACATTTTTGTGCTTCTTCTTCATCTGCTAAGTTTGTTATGCTCCTTTCAACTCATGTATGTAAGTTTCAGCTTTTTCCTGCTATTTCAGCTACTATTTAGCAATAGTAATTTTAGTATTTTTGGCTAATTCCAAATTTTTTGCACTTATTTAAACTTTTTTCAGCCTAAATCAGCCAAAAAAAAGTGCTCTCTCAACTTCCTTCTGGTAATTTAAGGTTCCTTCTGCTTTTTTTTTTTTTAGCTACATTTCAGATTTCTTGTTGTTGTTGTTGTTGTTGCTAATTTCAGCTTTTTTTTTCCTAGAAAATTTCCACTCCTTTGAGCTCATTCTGCTTTTTTCAGCCTAATTGGGCAAATGTGCATTCTTTCTGCTTTTTTCTGCTTATTTAAACTTGTTCTATGTTTTCAGCTACAATTTTAGCATTTATTTAGCTAATTTCAGCTGTTTTCAGATAAATTCAAGGTTTTTTGGTAACTTCTGCTACTTTCAATCTAATTAACTTATTAGTACTCATTTCAGCTTTTTATGCTGCTTTCAGATTATTTCTGTTAATTTTTGTTATTTCAGCTACTATTTAGCTGTTTTATGCTATTTTTAACCTTTTCAGCTAATTCCACATTTTTAAATAATTTCAGCTCTTTCCGCTTCCTTCTGGAACTTTAAGCTTCTTTCTTTCTTTTCAGCTACTTGTCAGCTATTTTTGCTCATTCCCGCTGTCTTTTAGCTGATTGAATAATTTCTGTGCTCATTTCTCTTATTTAAACCTAATAGAGCAAATATGTGTTCTTTCTGTTTTCTTCTGCTAATGTTGGCTTGTTCTTCATTTTTAGCTAATTTCAGCAGTTTTTCAGCAATAAATATTCACACTGCATATTCACAGGAAATGCAATGTCTCTAGTTATTATTATTTAAAGGAAGAGGTAAAAAGGATTTCATCATAGATGCACACCAGGAACATCAAGATAAATCCATGAATCATCATTGGAGCACCTCTTAACATGAACAACAGAAAGATCAATAATGTATTAAAATGTCTGCTCATTAATTTCCATGTGGATGGTCGTACTTCTAGAGTAATTCCTCGACCAGAGGCCTCAAGCCTGTGGCTTCTGTGCAGCAGCTGTTCTTAGAACTGGAGTCCTCTGGACAGAGTCTTTCCAGGTCCTGCTGGACCACTCATCATGTTTTGATGACAAGTGGCACCGCTACAGCTTTAACTTTTCACTACTTCTTTATTTCTTCTTTCAGCTTGTCTTGAACTTTTTATGTTCATCACTGGTTTGCTTGTCTGCATTTGAAAGCCCCACAAGATATCTGTTTCCTGTCACTTTGGCAGATTGAACGTAAGAAATGCTCTCCAATAGTTCTGATTTATTTCAGGAATGTCTGGTTCCAGTAGCCCATTAAACCCACTCATGTTTTTCTCAGTCATCTACTTTCAAATCCCTACAAAGAAACATCACGTTTATGAAAAACAAAGGCTTAATCTCTTGCCAGGCCTTATATTAGATCTTCTGAACAGGTGCTTTTGAATGGATCCTTTGGGAAGTTTTGTGATTTAAATTATTTAATACAGAGATTGGGTGTTTGTTGTAGCAACCCCCAAAACAGTGGAACAACCTTTTGATGTCAATTAAGAGCAGACTCTCTAATGAGCATTTTAAAAAGCAGCACATTCATTTTTTGTTACAGGCTTTTATCAATTATTGTTTTGCCTTTTTAAGCAATGCATTATTTTGAATATTTTTATCTAGTTTAATATTTCATGAACATGAATATCTTGTTTTATTTTATTTTGATGTTTAATGTTTTGGTTAGAAGTTTTTATGTCTGTGTTTTGGGGATTCATAGAAAGCGTTGGTCAACTTTACTTGTTTTAAATGGCCTTTATATATAAAAAAAAGAGGATTTGATGTTTATATTGGAGCTGCTGGCTGCTCAGTTTCATAATCTGATGTCAGCATTTGATGCTGTGACAGATCTCAAACACAAACAGTTGTTTTTCAGTCATCTTCGCATTATTTATAACACAAGAAAGGACCAATAGAGATATGATCATTTCTTTAGGAACCTTCATCACATCCTAAACCTATTGATCTTATATTGAAGGAAGGTTTTAGCCTTAATTTCACTTGTACTTCAGGTCAACTTTTTGTGTGCAGAATAAAATAGAATAAAACGTTTACATGCCACATCAACCTCCACGAGGACGGGAAAATCCTCCCCAGCGGATCAGATTTGGCCGGCACCAATTTGCGCTCACTGACCTAATATTTAAAGATACTTTAAATAAAGTCACTCTGCTGCTCCAAAGATGGAATCCAAATGTCCAGCTTGGATTAAAATCGTTTTGCAGCGTTTTGGAACATTTCTCTTTGTGCGTCTGAACGATGCGTCAAAAACATGCGGGAGAAAAAAACAAATAAATAAATAAAACTTCCAGGTTTGTGCTTTTTTTATGTTAATGTAAGCCTCATCTACTTGAATTTGGCTGCCGCTGCGCTTCTCCAGCATCTCTCTCTCTCTCTCTGAACTGCGCGCGCTTCACGCCGGAAACGTAATTAGACTCGAGCGCAGTCGTCATCGTGTCTCTGCTGCTCCTGCGGGAAGAGCTCGGACACCTTGATCCAAAACCTCCCACCCTGCTCCCCTTCCTCTCCGTCTCTGCTTCCCTCAGCTGATGTCTCCGGCTTCCTGCGCCTCCCCCCTCCCTCCCTCTTTCTCTCTTTCTCTCAGTGGTTGGGTAAGAAAGGAGAAGGGGGGGGGGGGGCAGAGCACATATACTGTTGCTCTGTCTTTCTCCTACAGAGCTCCAAGTCCCACAGCGGAGACTTCAACTCAAACAGACATCTTTTAATCCGACATCCCGACCTGCTCTGTGACTTTTTAGAACATTAACTGGAATATCTCCCTCCTCAAGAATGTGAATGTATAAAAAACGATGAGTAATAAGAAAAGGCACAACTAGGATCAGTCTTCGTCGTGTGGATGAGTTGTGCGGATGTTATTTCCTGGATTTCCCTCTACCCCGCCGGCCGGCGGACAGCAACAGTGTGAGGAAGAAAGTGCATGTGAATGTTCAACATATGGCTTCGACCAGGATTACACGGTAGGTCTGTGTATGTTTGCCTTCTTCACGCCGTTCCCTGATGAAATATCTCCTTGATTACTCTGCGCCGACCCCCGTCGTCCTTATTAACTAACATATCCGTCTCCTGGCTGCTGGATCCGGCTCGTTAATAATCATACACCTCATTTTCTCCTGTTGGCTCTGTTTGATTCTTGGTAGAAATCATGCAGCCTGCACGTGTGTGCAAAAAAATAAAAAAAATAAATAAAAACCTCTTCTTTGACAAGAAAAAGTGTTTTGCCTGTAAGCGTGTGTCGCTGTCCGAGGTGCTGAAACATTCTGCTGCTTTAATCCACGTCGATTCTCCAGCCTGTGCCATGCTGCTCTTAAAAGGCACTATTTCCTTACAGGATCTTTTTTTTTAAGACTTATTCATGTACTATGAATAGGTTATTCCTAAGTTTCTAAACACTTTATAATGCAATTTCAATTACTTATCAAGCAGTGAAGCAGGTTCACTATTAGTCCAGCTTCAGCGCTGCACTTTTATTCAATCAGATAAATGTTCAGACATCTATTTATTTACCAAAATAAACTTTACATTTACAATTAACCTTCTTGCTCTGTGATTATAATCAAAAGGAGCTGGTTTACTGCACCAACTTCTGCCGTATTTAAACTGATTTAGTTTTTTTTTAAACTATTGATACCTTTCAAACACATGTCCCTTCACTTGCTTGTAATTGTTCACCTAAAAAGTGTCACTAAAGTGGTTTGTTTTCAACAAGTGTGTACGCCGCGAGGAGCTTCATGTGTAATCTGTGTTGCGCAGTGTGGTCCGGTCCCAAGCAGCCCACAGCAGCCTGTGTGTTCCGGATTATGAAGAGTGAGAGAATCATCCGATTAGTTCAAATTACGACAAGCTGTCGCCACCTCAATGCAGGGCAGATAAAGAGGGGAGAAAGTTAAAGGTGACACCGGGTGGAGGTAAAGTCAAGTGGGCTGTGCATCAATGTTTTTGTTTATTAGTTTGGCATCTTGTCTTATTGTGCACGTGGAGTGGCTGAAAAATATATAAAGTTCAAGGTCTTTTCTTAAAGGAATGTTTATCACCTACCATTGTTCATATCAGAGCTTTAGATTCAAGTAATCTTATATAAGGAGGAACAGAGTTGTAGTTTCATTGTTTATATCTTGAAAATATGGTTATTCCGAAGTGTGTGTGATATTGCAGGATAGTATGCAATCTGTTAGCACTTAAAGAGGTTATTGAAGATGACTCCAAGCTACTACCACACAAATTTTTAGCTTAAAATCAGTAAAATGTACTAAGTTAGAGTAATTGTTGTGGTCAGTCTGAATTGGGGTGACCAAAAGTTAATCAGTTGTGGGTTTATCTTAACTTTATCACATTCTATGAAGGGATTAGACAAGCAGGCAGGCACAAGGAGATCAAGTAAAATAAAACTTTATTATATAAATGAAAGCAAAATGCTGACGTGGCAGCAACAACTCACAAAACACAGGGAGGGAGGACTGAGACATCTGGCAGGAAGCCAAAACAATGTGCCACTCGCTGTAGGAGTGGTGATCAGAAATGTTTTAAATAAGACGGAGTGAGCGGAAAGTGGCAACACCTGGGTGATTACTAATTGGAAATGGGTGTAAGTGATAAATGAAGAACAGCTGAGGAGGCTGACTGAGGGCAAGAATGAAAACTGGCAACGAAAGACAGCGAGCTGATCCAAAACACAAGGGACAGAAAAATAACACGTAAAGCACAAGACTAAATAAAACTAAAAGTGATCAAACTAAATGACCAAAACAAAACACAGACTACTATACTTAACGAAAGTTCATGAAAAATATTTAGTCAGGTATTTTGCTAACCGACAAGAAGGGTTGATGTCAACATTTAATGGTAAAGTTTAATCACACGTCTACCTCATGAGTTAAACGTGGGGGGTGATGCTCTGCTACTACCACACTAAATATTAGTCTAACATCTGTACATGTGGCTGAGGATTAGCCATTTTTGTTGAATAATGTGCACGAACTGTGGCAGCCATTTTTGGTTTAAGTTCATTCTTATCTTTCATGTAAACAATGTGATATTTTACTAACAGTCAAAGTTGACTCAAGACAAAACTTTAGAAGCACATTAGTGGTTTTTTTTGTTGGAGAATGGTTAGCTACTAACCCATCAAACTTAATATCCGTGAATTATGTTGCGTTATAGCCATTTTTGTCGACTAAAGTTGCTTAGCTGTAGTGGCCGTTTTGAAACACGTTTACTCCGAAGGTTAATCCGCTAACTACTTTTCGAGAGTCTGGCACTGAGTGGGCACTAGAGTGGACAGCTGTTCAAAGGGCATTTCCTATTAAACACGTTTGTTTACATGATGAAACTGCACATTAGCCAGTAAGAGCGCTCTCTACTGCTTCACTCCATTCAGTGGTGAGTTGTTGTAACTGCATGAAAATTTCCTCTGAATCAAAGATGGCGGACAGGCAGCCACACGTGTTGACTCCCACTGGTATGTCTACTCATTCCTGCTATTCCAGAAGAAATCTAAAGTTAAAACATACATGGTGATGAACAGGAACATCCATGTTTATATATATATATATATATATATATATA